TATTATTATTATTATTATTATTATTATTATTATTATTATTATTATTATTATTTTAGATTATCATATATTATATCTCATTAATATTGACCCCCTCTCCTCCCTTCTGCCTCCTCCAGGTCAAACCCCTCTTTCCTATGCCCCCCACTTTATGTCCTTTTATGTCACTATTTAAAGAAAAGACTATTTAGCAGCAGGTGTCTGGTCCTCTGGCTCTTACAGTCTTACCCTTTTTATGTTCCCTGAGCCGTAAGTGTATGCATTATGTAGATAAGTCATTTTTAAAATTATCTGATTTATTAACATATAACTGTTTTTTTTTTTTCTGTGAAAGAATCATACTTTCAACCACTGGTTTATGACAAAAAAAAAAAAGTTAAATTCTAAGGGGGGAAAAAAAACTAGGAGGAAAACTTGGTTTAGTGATGAATACCAGTGTTTTTCTATATCCAGATTTTTTTTTTTCTGTCTTCAACCTGTACCTGCTTTTTCTTCCTCCTCTTGACTGACAAGCTTTTTCATTTTAAGATTTTCTTCTCTCTCTCTCTAGGAACCTTTTGATCCCTCAAGGATTTCCATCAGAGAGACCTTGGGCCAGGTTCTACGTGAGGCTGTACAGAGCAGAAGGACTACCCAAAATGAACTCCAGCATCATGGCAAATGTCACCAAAGCATTTGTGGGTGACAGCAAGGACCTTGTGGATCCCTTCGTGGAGGTGTCCTTTGCTGGGCAGACGGTGAGGAAACCTTGTTACCTATAATGGTAATTATGTCCTGCTCTAAATCCATTTAATCAAATGAAATTAAGTTAAAAGTGACTCTGAGAAAATCTTGTCACAAGAAATGTAAGAGTTAGGAACCAGAGGTACAGAGGTTGCCCGCTCACGCCTCACTGAGGATCCTGGAAAAGAGCTATGGCTTTATGTGTTGCAGCTTAAGGCCAGGAAGAACATCCCTCCTCATCACTGGCTACCTCTCTAAGCAAGGACCAGGCCCTGTAGAATTACCGCTTTCTCCTGGCCCATTTCACAATGTTCCAGGCAATACCTCTCCTACCTAACCCTAGAAACAACAGTTACTTTCTCGGGAGCCATTGGAAGAATCAAGGCCTGTTTCATGGTCAAAACTGCATTCTGCCTCACTGGACTTTGGAACTTGGGACAACATGGGCTTTCAAAATACGTCCCTGTCCCTTCCCATCAGAACAAATGAATACTGGAGTATTTCTAACTTGGGTTAAGTTTGGAGGGAATATAGGACATCATTTCTGTTCAATGGCAACTGAGGCCCAGGCTGCAGGCCATTCAAGGTCATGCGTGACATTCACCCTGGTCTTGACACAGGCACGAGCTCAGGCTCTAGCTATGCTTGCTGCTTTCCTGGTGATGTGTAGAACAGCTCCTACTTACAGCACAGGGGCTGAGGTCAACACTTTTCTGAGTAAGTTTGAGTAGAAATTTCCAAGCACAGTGATTCACATTCCCCCCAGTGCCCCACACAACATCTATGTCAGCAGTAATGTTAATGGAGTGTAGTTGGTTTCACGGGCCTCAGGGAAACAAGGCCGCGGTTATTGCTAATTCCCTTCCCATCCCCAGGTGCTTCGAAGCGTTTTCCTTAGTCATTTATTTCTATGGCTCACATCCTTCTGGCTGTACTTTTAGGGACGAACCTCCGTGCAAAAGAATTGTGCAGATCCTGTGTGGCATGAACAGGTGGTCTTCAAGGAAATGTTCCCTCCCTTGTGCCGGAGGGTGAAAATTCAGGTGTGGGATGAAGGCAGCATGAATGACGTTGCCCTGGCAACCCACTTCATTGATCTGAAGAAAATCTCCAATGAGCAGGATGGGGATAAAGGTAGTGTTTCCTGTGTCTGACTTGGAAGTGTGTCTCCAAACCATAGTTACCTTACGTAGGCATGTAATAACACCTTTCATGAGTCTGAGTCTGGCCTGGTTAAGCTCATTGATGAAACCAAGCTCTGATCCTATGTCTTCTATGACTCTTTCTACCTAGCTGTGGTGTGTCACTGTTCTTTTAAGAGAATGTTTATCATATCACAGAGGAGAGCTTTGCAGCCAGTCCTGAAGATACCTGATAAAACAGGATCAGATGAATGGGGAGGAGGTCCCCCCATCAGTGGACTTGGCAAGGGGCACGGTGGAGATGAGGGAGGGAGGGAGGGACTGGGAGGGAATGAGGGATTGGGACATGGCTGGGATACAGAGTTAATAAAAAAAATGTAACTGATAAGAAAAGAATAAAATTCAAAATAAAATAAAATAAAATGAAAAAAAAAGAAAATGGAATGCACATAAAATGAAAGGTTGCTAAACTAAAATCTATAGGACAAACATGTCTATATGTCTATGTATGGCACTGTGTGAACGGTTTTTGCATGTTTCAATGGGTTTCCCCCTACATAAAAATTATGTCCCCAGTCGCTTGATGGGAACGTGAGAGCTTGAGAGCACAAAGGTCTGTGAGTGGTTGTGCACCCCGTGAGCTGGGGGAGCCTCATGTAATCCACAAAGCCCTGGAGGTGGCGGGCAGGAGAGGAACCCCCACTTAGTGTATGACTCGACTTCTGGAGTCCCATTACTGTGTAAGAATTTCTAAATTATCTCCTGTTTAAATTTATGACAATCGCTCTCTGTACTGCAAATGTATGTTAATTGACAAATAAATACACATACATACTTGTATACCACATACATATATAATTAAACGGTCAAATGCAAGCATACATTTATACATGTACATGTTAAATAGATCTTAGCATATGTCACATAAAGATGACATTGGCATGGTCATTTTTAACTAGATGAGTATTTTCCAAGAGCGGAGACTTGTGTTTTATGTCCTTTACAGACTGACATTACAAAAAGCTAGCAATGAATGTATATTGTCTATCTCTTCGTATTACGTCAGCATTTAACATTTTATGTAAAAAACTCACTCGTCCATCTACACTTTCTTAACTAGTTGTTAAGATGTCTTATTCACAGCATTTTAGAAGCCTCTTGATGGTGTTCAGAAAGACAGATGTTTGTATTTTAGAAGTAGGCAACAGGGACCATAAAAATCTTTCTATCCTTGTAACAATAATGTTTCTGCTTCTTTAAGTTTACTCGAAGGAGAACATAATCTGACAGATAGAATCTAGTCTGGAGAAGTCAGGGTGGTAGAAAGAAGATATTTAGGCAGAAAGATGTTATACTACACACACATACACACACGTTTTCTTGGCAACTGTAAGGAAACTGATGAACAAATTATACTATTTCTTCACATCAGTGGGGGTATGTCCTAAGGGCACATGGGAAACACTTAATAGCTATTATCTTTTTAATCTTGATAGGTAAGTTAGGCACGATTAGCTTTGCCTCCATAAGAGGAAACTGAGGTACAAGGAAGTTAAGAAATTTGTCCAGTCTCATGCAGCTGAAAAGTCCCAAACCTGGAATTTGAACCCACACAGCTGAGTCTTTGGAAACACCATGCTGTTTTTCCTTTCAGAATGGAGCATGAGATTGACACTATAGGTCAGTGGCAATCACACGGGCCTTGGGTTTGATTTCCAGTAGAGAAAAATAGAGGTATATTGTGTTGACAGAGGTTCTCGTGGTGCCATGTTTTCTCAGATGTTCTAGATTCAGGAGAGAAAGTCCCTCTGGCAGGAGTAAGTTAAAATCATCAGGTTTTTTCAGTTCTATGTTTAAGAAATATATTTGAACCTTCATTTCTCACCATCTCTACCACCCTGCCGTAGTCCAAGCTAGAGTGTCCTTAGCTTCCACGATGAAATGGATCCCAAAGAAGTTTTCTCACATCCATTCTTGCAAGTTTTCACCTTCATATGGTAGTCACAATGGTCTTAAGCAGTGGCCCTCAACCTTCCTCCTGTTGTGACCCTTTAATACAGTTCCTCCTATTGTGACCCCCAACCATAACATCATAGTCATCATTACTTCATAACTGTAATTTTGTTACTGTTATGAATTGTAACGTACATATCTGATATGTGACACACATATCAGCCAAGGGGCTGTGACCCACAGGTTGAGAAGCACTGGTCTTAAGAGACATGGTTACATTATCAATTCAATAAAATCCCTTTAAAATATTCTTAATGATAGTGAGCACAACCCATAATGAGGCCTAAGGCCTCTCACCTGTCCAAAGTCTTCTTTCATATCTCTAGTGCCACACTCTTTCCAGCTGGTTAATAGCCCTCCTACCCTGTTCATCCTTCATCAGCCCATCATTTGTTCCTCCAACAGAAGATGTGCCCTCTCCATAATGTTTATTTTGCAAAACATTTCTTGTTCAGTCTTTGTACTAACTTGTCCTCTGCTCAGCTCCATGATTGCCATCTAGCATGTTCCCTAGTTCATGTTAGGAACGAACATTTGATGGCTAAATGGCGACAAAAGGTACTTAGTGGCCTCCCTAATATTACAAATGTGAAAAAGTGTAAGTGGAAGTGTGTAAAAGAGAGACGAGGTGGAGAATGAGCAAAATACTGTGAATGCATAGCCAGTTACCTAACACTCAGGTTTTTCCTAGGCTTTCTTCCAACTTTTGGACCTGCCTGGATTAACCTGTATGGCTCCCCCAGAAACCACAGTCTGATGGACGACTACCAGGAGATGAATGAGGGCTTTGGGGAAGGTGTGTCCTTCAGGGGCCGGATCTTGGTGGAAATTGCTGTGGAAATCCTCTCGGGTGGAGCCCAAGAGTCTAAGTTCTCCAAGGCTCTGAAGGAGTTGAAGCTGTCTTCCAAAGACAAAGACTCCAAATCTTCTAAAGGCTCCAATAAGGACAAGGCTGACAAAGCAGATGATGGCAAAGCCCAGCAGGCTGCTGACAAAACCAACTCTACAGAGGTGGAGGTGGAATCTTTCACTGTACCCCCAGAGGTAGGCCTGAGCACTGCTTCTCTGTGCTTGATGATCCAGGAGCCCAGGACAAAGGGAGACAGCATTTGTCACAGGCTCCAGAGACCCCTTCACAGGTCTCATCTTCCTGGCAAAATCGTGCTGGCCTAGTGCTGGATCCTGAGGCGTGTCCTCTGTTCATGCAAGCAGTATGGTCGTATGCTCATGATGAATTTCTTCAGAATCTCTTGAGCATAGATACATGGAAATTCAAAAGAGCAGATGCAAAAGTAGTCAGAGACATTGGTGGGCGTGGGCAGTAGGGTGAGTAAACTTTGGTTTAGCTGCATTATCCTGGAATGTTTTTTTGGATGTGTGACCACGTAGGAAGAGGGAAGAAAGGGGAGAATAGTTGGCAGCAAGCTGTGTGCTAAGTGGAGAAGCCTCACAAACCCGTGAGGAAAATCACAGCCCCATCAAGTGCTTATCTTCAATTAGTTGCCACCAGAAACATATCAGCAGCGCCCACGCCCAGCTCTGTATCAATAGCATGAGATTGGAATGTCAAGATGGACATCAGCTGTGACTACCCCTCAGCCATTATCCTAGTGGTGCAGTTCGTGAGTTCTGTGTGTCATCAGTAGCAGAGGAATGTTGATTCCAGTTGGTCCTGCTTAATTCTGTCTGTGGGAATGTTTCTTGGGTCGACAGATAGGGAGATAATGGCTGCTCACCCAGAGCTGTCCATTCCTAAGGAGCCTGGACTGAGCTCAGAGCTGCAGTAGGATAGTCACCCTTACCTTAGAAGAGCTATTTATTTTTCTTACTGGGATATTAAGAAACCACTGCAGAGAATTCAGAGCGTGGGACAAGACACATTGACGTTAGTTCTACTCGTGGTTCTAACACTAACACTGCCCTGGATTGCCATTTATTTTTGAGCTAAATGAGGTCCTGTAGGTCACTTTGTCATAGACAACTTCTGGGGGCTGATGAGAAAGTGTGTATAAATGGTCATCAGATCCTTTAGCACCTACGCGGCTAAGCTTGCAATGTTCTTGTGGCTGTTAGCCAGGGCTTTCTCCCTCCACCAAGAAGCGGCTATTTAGAGCTTGCCACCTGTTGTTTGTGTCTTGGCTTTTTCAGCACCTCCCCACTTCTCTTTGGACTCTCCTCTGGGAAACCCTTTCTGGAAATGTGTGTTATCAGTTTGTTGGGGGTGGGGGTGGAATTGGCATTGTCTGCATGGGGCTGTGAGTGTGTGCATGTTCAGAATATAAGACAAGGATGGAAACTTGATTTGGCATTTGTGGGTAGCTTAACGGCTACTCAAGTCCACATCTCCTATATCTGCCTGTCTGGCAGATATAGGCTGCCATCGGCAAGGCTGGACAGGGAGATCCAAGGAGAAAGAAGCTAGGAGAAGATATGCAGAATCTAAGTCAACATCCTTAAGACATTTTGCTGAGGGTTCCTGAAGAAAGAAATTGTAGCAGAAAGCAAGGGGGTGGGGTAGGGAGGGGACTTCTCTACAAGTCAAGGTATAGAGAAGCTTACTGTGCTACCGTGAAGAAGATGGTAGATATAGGACAACTGAGGTGCTTCTATGGCTCCATCCCCTCCTCATTTTGCTATCTTATTGGTAGCATTTTCTTGTCAGATTCATTAGCTATCTGTTGTTGCCCGACAAGTCACCCCAAAGCTTAGTGGCTTGAAACATCAAATGTTTATCTTCTCTTCGAGTGAGGAGTTTGGGGATACCTTAGTACCATGGTTCTGGTCCATCCTTTCCTTGGAGGAAACTTTCATCAAGATCTAGGCAGAGTGGATGGGAAGGCAATCTAGTGGTGACATCTGTCATCTCATTGATCACCAGGGTTGATGTGGCTGATATAGCTGGCTAGGCAGGTGTCCCTTTCTTCTCTAATGTTCCATGCCTGTCCCTCCCAGAAGCTGTGTGGTCACCTTCCCAGAACAGAGGAGTGTTCTTTGCTCAAGGGCATAAGAGTAATTTCACTCCCCTACTAGAACTCCCAAACAAGCCCTCAAGATCTTGGCAGAGGCTATGATCTTTTGAAGGTGTCACGGGACTGAAGGAGCCATCTCAAGATGGTTGCTTGACACTCAGGAAATGTTAGTACCTTGAGGGCTCTTTATTGGTATAAGAATACCATTCCTTACTATGGCGTCCCTTCCATAAATCCGAATATCCTTATGACATGGTAGTTTGTTTCCTTCCCCTAGGGTGCTGATCTAAGAGAGAGCAAGGCCATGACCAAGCCATGACACCTCAGGCACTTCTGCTGTGCTCCTTCTTCTTGCTAGGAATAAATCATTTCATCTAGCTTATATGCAGAAGGAAGAGAGAGTTAGGGGGAGATTAACTGAGAATTTGTGGACATATTTCAAAGCCACTACCCAGATCCGCTGTTTCCCACAGCCCGAGAAGATCAACCTGTCCCCTTTCTTGGTGTCTCTTCCTTTCTTTTTCAGCTTTCTAGGGCCACAGAGCCCCAGTGTCACTGTCTGCAACAACCTCATGGCACATCCGTGCACTAGGAGACCCTAAGATGCTGCTTTTCACATCCTCCCTCTCATTACTTAAGAAAGCTCTTCTCTCCTCTGCCAAACTCCCCAAGAGCATAGCCATCCTGGGGGATGTGATCCTTTTCTATTTAGTTAATGTATTCACTTTACGTCCTGATTGTAGCCTCCTTCCTCCTCTCTTCCCAGTGTTGCCCTCCGTCCTTCTTTCCTCCTCCCTCCTCTATTCCTCAGATAAGATGAAACACCCCCCCCCCGCTCACTCATTCACCCCAGCTCATTAAGTTGCAACAGGATGGAGTATGTCGTCTCCCCCTGTGGCCTGGTGAGTCAGCCCCTCCAGGGGAAAGTGATCAAAAAGAGTCAAAGGAGTCTAGCATAGCTGTCCTCTGAGAGGCTCCAGACAGCAGTGGATTGAAACAGATGCTGAAACTTACAGCCAAACACTGGTCAAAGCATAGGAACCATGTGAGATGAAGGGTAGAAAGACCTGCAGGTGCCAGGAGCTCCACAAGGGGACCAACTGAGCCAACTAACCAGGGCCCAAAGGAGCTTATGGAGACTGAAGCACCAGCCAAGGACTATGCAGAGGCTGGACCTGGGCCCACTACACAGATGTAGCAGACGGGGAAGTCAGGCTTCATGTGGGCCTCCCCACCCCCATAAGAGGAGCGGGGGCTGTCTCTGACAATGTGATCATATTTAAAGTCTATGAATGCTGCTTGAACAGCTTTATAGTAAACATCTTGCTCAATATGGGCAGGAGTAAACGCAAAGCTTAACCCTGTGGAACTTACACTGTAGAAGGGGAGAGAACACATGCAAACTATATCCAACAGGAAGTAGGAAGTGATAGGTGTTAGCAACTACAAATTGCTGTTATTTATGTATGGGGTGAGAAAGTTTGGTGTTTAAAATGCTCGGCCTCCTAGTGCAACAGCTGGATTTAAGTTGTGTCAGTATCATGCAGGGGCCAGCATGCAGGGAGACATGCCCGCCTCTGTTTGACTCTTTGGGAGACAACTTAACCCCTGTGTTAACTGCTTTTTCTTTGCTGCGACAAAACAACTGACTAAAAACAACTTTAAGGAAGGGGGCTTTTAGGTCCACACTTTGAAGATGCAGGCCATCAAGGTAGGGACTTGGGAGCTGGTTCCACTGTGTCCACAGTCAGGAAGCAGAGAGAAACAGATATTGGTGCTCAGTTCACTTACGAGCTCAGTGCGCATTACGTGTCAATAATTTCTCTAGTCTCAGGCATACTTCAAGACGGGAGAGCTCTTTTTTTTTTTTTTTTTTTTTTTTTACAAGTGATCCGGGCCTCATTGCGATACTTGCATTATAGATAAGGAAAGCAGCAGCCAGAGAATGGATTCCACTTGCTCAAAGTCTGATAGCTGGCAGGTCAGCTGCTTTGCTATGACTTCTGTCACCCTTGAGGTAATGGGGTCTGCTTTTTCTTCTAGTCTTTTTGGGGTGCTCACCCTCCTCCCAGAGAGTAAATTCAGTTCCCAGACTGCAAAATAAGAAGCTGGCGGACAGACAGACATAAAGCTTTAGCATTATGTCCTGCTCTGCCCTACTCTGCCCTGCCCTGCCCTGCTCTGTGTTTCTGGTCAAAAGAAACATTTTCTGGACTGTCCGATGCTACAGGAAAGATCACCTCTCACCCACTTATCTGAAATCTTTTGGTTCTCTTAGGGGCCTGGTTCAGGACTCTTGTCCAGTGGAACTCCATGCCTGTGAGGCGACAGTAGTTTTGTTCCCTTAGCTTATTGCTGAGGGAACTTAAGCCTTACTGCCCTTTCTTTGGGCTTTAGTGAGGCCGGCTGCAAAGCTAGGAAGCCCCATCTAAATGTCTTCACCTCATCACCTCACTCAGAACCTTTGCTGAGAAAAGGTTCCACATTAGGAAGAGCTACTTGCAAAGAACTTAGTATTATCCTATAGTGAGGTGTTTCTCTACTTTCCTAACGCTGTGACCCTTTAATACACTTCCTCATGTTGTGGTGACCCCAACCATAAAATTGTTTTCGCTGCTACTTCATAACTGTACTTTTGCCATTGTTACGAATGGTAATGGAAATACATTTTGGAGACAGGTTTGCCAAAGGGGTTGCAACCCACAGGTTGAGAAGCACTGCCCAGTGGCTCCTACCTTATGGCCTGCCACCGCCCAGGCTTCCAGGCTACCTGCAGGTTCCTTGACTAAGCAGCCGTGGTGAAGAACAGATCCCAAGCCTTAGCTGACTTAAATTTGCCGTGTGGCCTTAGAAGCCCCTTAATCTTTCAGCGCTTTGTTTTATAAGGTAAACGGTAGAGGTTGGAGTAGATAACTCTAGCGTCCTTTTCGATATAAAAAGCGTTTGTGAGTCACATGCAGGCGGATCCCTCGTGGCAGCAGCAGCTGAGTTCAGTACCCCACAAACACTGGATGGATGGATGTGTTTGCCTATGCACGGTCCTTCTCTCTTTTTGGCTGACTTTTCTAACTATTTAGGGAAGTAAACTTGGAATGTGGGTCAGCACCAGGACAACAGGTTAGCACGTGTTCATCTCAGAGAGCACAGGGTCTGGGCTCAGAAAGCCTGAGGGAGCCACACAACAACACAGAAAGCCTGAGGAAGCCACACAACAGCACAGCTTCCTGTTCCTTCAGCATCCTCTACTGTGAAATGGGAACGGGCCAGATCCCAGGCTCTCAGCGTCAATATGAGGGACAATGATAAATGTATGTGAGCACCCAGCTAAGCCACATAGTTATGCTCACGTGTAAGGGACTGGTGTTGTGACCTCTCAGCACTTCATCTTTGATTTCTGGGTCTACAAGCCTGCTCAGTGTTGGGTCCCTGCCGGCAGCATCTTGGAGAGACACATACCCACCTCATCTCTTGCTGTGAAAGGAGACTCCCCCCCCCCCCCCCCGTATGTCAATCTAGCAGTGCAGAGAGTGATCCTGTGTCATTGTAGACCAGTGGCTCACTGGGTTTGGACCTGAGTTTGTTGGCCACAACTGCTGCCTGTCTGCTTAGTGGCAAGGCATGGCATTTTCAGCTGCAACAGAGATGCAGAGGTCTATGAAGTATATAAGACCAAATGAGTTTCACTAACTTGGCTTTCTAGAGAGGAAAGGAAGCCAGCTTTGTCTAGCATTTTTTTTCTCTATCTGTAGATTATGCCAGAAAAATATGAGGAATTTTTACTCTTTGGAGCCATTTTTGAAGCTACCATGATTGATCGGAAGATTGGAGACAAGCCTATCAGCTTTGAAGTTTCTATTGGTAAGTGAGTGCAGATGCATGCAGTGTTTGGGCGATGTTTGTTTCTTGAATAAGTGAAGTAATGCCTTACATGAAGGTGATTATACTCCCCGAAAAATTATAATCAGCACCTCAAAAAGAAATGGTAGTTCCTTGTCTGCCCAATATCAACACATAAAAGGTAGATTTATTCCTATAGATTTTTTAAAACAAACAAACAAAACCAAAACAGTAATCAGTACAGGTTTGAACTCAGGGACTTGAATTCAGTAATCTTGGTTCCACTCCTTTGGGCTGACTTAGCTTCTCTGGGTCTTGGTTTCCTCATGTCTACCGTGGAAAGGGTAAAGACTGCTCACAGAATTGTAAGATCTGAAGAATTGATGTAATGCATCACATATTCACCAGAGGCTATAACTGTAATTCCCAGCCATCTTCCTTGGCTAATGTGCAGTTCAACCAAGAGCACTTAATGCCACCAGAGAAGAACAGATTGATATCCAGGCAGTTCTGTTCCAACAGGGCAGAAGGAAGTAGAGCTGAGATGCAATCCTGAGCTACACAGCTGGAGGCCTGGCACAGAACCCCGTGTCTTCATGTCCACAGGGTACAGATGTCTGTTAGAACTGTAAAAGACAAAACTCTGACAAGAGAGGCCTTATATTTTTCCTGTTAATTGATTTATTGAAAATGGATATTTTTTCTTGTCCAAAATCATGTTTTTCTCACATAGTTTATCCTGGTTATGATTTCCAATCCCTCCATTCTTCCTCCCACTTTCTCCCGCCTCTTCTCCTATCTGGATCCACCCTGGTTCCGTCCCTCTTGAGAAAACAGGCAAGCTTCTATGCGATCACTAATAATATAGTATAATAAGACAGAAATTAACACACCACAGTTGGTCAAACAAACAGGAGGAAAAGAACCCAAGAGAAGGCACAAGAAACAGATCCACTCGTTTACACACTCAGGACTCTTGTGAAGAAACACTAAGCTGGAAGCCATTATATATACACAAAGGACTTGTAGAGTAGAAAGAGAGAAGAAAATATATAAAGTAAATAAAAAATAATATGAAATAAAGAGGAAGGTGACATGACACTATGAGACAAAGAAGCTCCAAAGATGCAGTTGAGTTTGTTTTCTGCCCATCTACCGCCGGGCATGCAGCCTGCCCTTAAGATTGTTTCTTTCCTCAGTGAGACTCCCTTGGAGGAAATTAAATTTTCATTTGAAAGTGGTTATTGTTTTGAAGTTGGGGGGGGGCCTGTGACCATTTCTTCCTTCATCCCTAGAACCCCAACTTGGGCAGACCTGTGTATGCTGGAGAAACCTTATTTTACATGAGGTCTTATTTTATATTTTATATAGTTACAGCACAAAAGCTTCCTTATTTGAAACCTTAGTTTTCCCCTTTCCTCCTTTTCTCTCCCTACCACCTTTCCTCCTTTCTCCCTTTCTCCCTTCCCCTGCTTCTGCTCTCCTTCAATACCCATTCACTCTTACTTCTACAAACCTGATGTTGTCTTTGGGTATTCAGACAAGAAGTCTTCTCTTAGAGAAGAAGCAGTTTTGAGAAGGTTCCCAATATTTTATTGAGTGAAAAACCCATATTATAAAGTGACACACCAACAATGACAGTTTATCAAGGCTCCACGGCCAGCATTGGTGGGATACATCTACTAAGATGTTAAAAGTGCTGGTAGCTCAGAGAGCAAAGGCTGCTAAGCCTTATCACCTGACCTTGGTCCCTGGGATCACAGGTGAAGGTGAGAACCAACTCCTGCATGTTGTCTTCTGACCTCCATATTGCTCATGGATATACGCACTCACACAAAATAATGTAATACAATTAAAATAGATAAAAATAATGTGGCAAAATAAATATCAAAATCTACAGGGGATTTTCTTTGCCCTTAACTGTCTTTCTTAATTTGCAACTTGTGGAAGTTCTACAAACAAAAAAATAGGAAGTTTTGACTTTGTCAATCCAAATTTCTCCTTCTCCGTCATTTGTTCATTCTGCCTTTATCCTGAAATCTTATCTCCTTTCTGGGAGAGGGTGCGGGCATGCCAGCCTACCTAATCTCCTTGGTGACACCCAGACCCTTGCCCATTGCCATCATCTCTGAAGGTAACTTTGGGAACCTGATTGATGGAGGGTCTCATCATGGGAGTAAGAAGAAATCAGCAGAGCTAACTGAAGAAGATGTCCTTCCTCTGTTGCATGAGGGAGAAAAAGATGTGGCCCATGATGCTGCTGTTTCCATGGCCTCCACCACTCACCCAGAGAAGCCTCTGGTCACAGATGGGAACAGGTAGGAGATATGAGGCAGGTGAGAACAAAGTTTCTACTGAGTAACAATTTTGCCAGTTCCTGGGACTGTTTCATTCAGCTTTTCAGTAAGATAAAAAACACAAATTTTATCTCAGGGCTGGGAACAAGTTGCAAACAGGGAAAGGGTGATAACTAACACTCTATTATATCCTTTGCCCTCCGATGACACATCCAGGGAATCCATCTAACAGCAGAGAAGCCATGATGGTTACTGTTAGTCCTAAAGAAAAACATTTCCATGACTGCCTGATTAAAACAGCTGTATTTAGAAGTGTACAAGGGACTGTCAGTAGACTGTCTCCCCTCAAATTGGGGTTTCAGAGAGCAGTGTCTCATTGGCTTTCAAGGTCCCTTTTCTGGGAAAGTGTTAGGGTTGACAGAAAACAGCTGGAGGCTACGTGCGGTAGATAAGTGCAAGAATACAACATGTGGAAGGGGAGGCATCAAAGTATCTGGGAAGACACATTGTGCAAGGCAAAGGGGCAATCAGGTATCACAGGTTCAGAAATGTAGCAAGCAAAAGGGGTGAGCATAGTCATGGTGTTGCAAGGTTAGCATAGGTTGAAGAACAGGGTTTGCAGGATACATTAGGCTCCGGAAACAGAAACTTACTCTTGTAAGGCATGGAGACTCACTAACAACCTATGCCAATGTGGCTCCTTAACAACAGTGTGGCTCCTGTTTTGGTTTCACAGTTACCATCTATAAAGCCCCCTTAACTCAGAAGCATAACAAGCTAAGAAGAAATTTTAAAGTTCAGCCCAAACCCAGCTGATGATTGTCATTTTTGCACCACTAAGGAAACTCAACTTGGCGGGTTATTGAATATGTAATTTCCGCCCTTAGGTTCGCCACAGTAATTTACAAACTAAAGAATGGTGGTGAGGCGCTGGAAATGACCAGCTCAGAAAACAGTTGGGCGGGCATCCATATCTTTTTGTACTGTGAGCACTCACAAGCCTTTAATTCATGCAAATTTTCAGCCTGTAGTAAAAGTAAAATTACAGAGTTGTTTTAAAGAAAGCACAGTCAAGCACCCTGCAGGAGATTTATGAGTGGAAATAAAAGCATTCGTGCAGGTGCCTTGTCTTGCTGAGTCTCGTGTTGTTTGGATGAGTAATCTCCAATGTCAGGGACTCTCGTGGTGGCCATTGCCATCCCTGTTTTACATGTGAGGAGACTGGCATCTACAGATGCTCCATTGCTGCAACCAGGCCGCATCATTGCTTTTCAACCCTCTGCTCTTTCCGTGCGGACGTTTCCCTAGGAACTGACTTCCTGGTCCGTTTTCTCAGGCACTCCTCTTTCCTACAAGCAGATCGGATGCCCCCATTTGAGTGGCTTGTAAATTACAAATTACTCACCAGACTTTTTTTTTCTAGCTTCCCATCTGTAGACAGATCCCTCCACTCTCAAAGTCGTCCCACTCACAGTTGGAGGATCGTCAGTTGTTCTTTTCCATATTTTAAAGATTTGTTTTATTTTAAATTATGTGCATATGTGTGAGGGAGGTATGTGTGTGTGTGTGTGTGTGTGAGTGCAGGTGCCTGTTGAGTACAGATTAGGGTGTCAGATTCCTTGGATGCACACACACATGTACATATACACACATGCCCACACACAGACACACAGAGGCACACACAGACATACAGAGGCACACACATATATACCCAGAGACACAGATACACACACACACACATACATATACACACATGCACATACACACAGACATACACACATGCACATACAGACACACATCACACACATAAACATATATATACACAGAGACACACACATATACATACAGACACACATACAAACACATATACACACACACAGATGCATACATGGGCACACACAGTCATGAACACACACAATATGTGCCTATTTCCCCTAATAAAATTCCACTAAGCATGTGCTCTTGGATTTCTGGTTTCACAAAGTATGTGCCTTTGCATACAGTCTGTGCTGGGTAGAGATGAGGAATAAAATCAGAGTAGGTGACATCCAATGGAGGCTCATCATTACATCCTAAGGATTCCATGTTTATTCTGGTGCTATGTTGGCAATCCATCCATACTGATGTTTCTCACTTTGCATGAGCAACAAGGCACCTTCTCATTTGCTGCTTTTCCATTTGCACAATGGCTTACCCAATGAGCCTCAGCTGCCTGGTCCTTGAAGACATGGCAACAAAGCCCTGAAAAACACAGAGACAAAGGCCTAGACTACTGTTAGCACACAATAACGCAGAGCAAAGAAACCCTGAGACCAAGTAGAACAGTGTGTGGGTGCTTTTTCAATGCAGGGTTCTCAGTGAAGTAATTTTAGAGATAAAATAGAGAGTAGTTTGGTTTCTGACCTTTTGTCTTTGTTGTTCTCTTGCTGTATTGACAACTTCAGTTCCTGCCAAGAACCTCTTTGGCTTACTTTTCTGAATGGACACCTGCTGGTTTATTTAGTTTTTACAGAGCATACCAGGTGGCCCTTTGCTAATTCTTTTGTTTACGTGAGGAGAAATTAATGTTGGAGAGATAAAAAGGAACATCCAGTCTTTCAGGCTAAAGATCTTTGTAGCTTTTGTTTGAAAGAAAAACAAAACTTATCTCTCCCCTCCCCTCCCCTCCCCTTCCCTTCCCTCCCCTCCCTCCTTCCCCCTTCCCTCCTCTCCCCTCTCCCCTCCCTTTTCCTCTCTCCTCTGTTTCCCCTTTCCTCTGCCTTCTTTTTACTGCTCCTTTCTCTCCTCACTCTGCCTCTCCTCTATGCCTCTGTAAACCCCTGTCTCTGTCCCTTTCTTGCCAAACCACCACAAAAATACTTCTCTAAACGACATCCATTTCTCAACAGTAAGTATCACCCATTCCAAGCATTTTGCTTCTGCCTTCATTCTGTACTTCTCTCTACAGCCCTGTGCACGTGTGGGGTAATTACAGGGGGCTGGGAAAACCTGATCATTAAGACAGCCATTTTACTGAGGTGAAGCCTGGGAACTTGACCTCTTCCACTGGCCCTGCCTTCACATCCACCTAACCCCACCCCTTGGGAACCAAATCCACATGTTTGTCGTGTCTTTCTGCCTTTGTTTTATTCTGTTAATGATCTTTCTCTATCAGTGTTAAAGAGTATTTATTCCACTGTCACCATTAGACATTCTTTGGGGCTTCACATCTTCAGTGCTGGGCTATACCTCTTATCCCTTCCTAGCCAAAAAAGGAACTTATATTATTGGCACCAGTGCCTGGTAACAAGTATTGAATGGATGGACAGACAGATGTATGGATAGAAGAATGATTCTAAACTACAGATTACTGATTCAGATTGGGATATATGCCTTTATCCACATTGGTAATATGATCTATTTTCTTCCAGAAACTTCATTCCATCTGTTATATCAAAGGAGCAATACAATATGCTCAGAATATATGTTTTTTAAAAGTAATCTTGCTCTTTTACTTTATCAGTTTAAGCCCTCTTTGAGGAAGGTTCGCCCAACATATTCTACACACTGATGATAATCTTAAGATTTGCCCTGTGTTTGGTCTTATTTGGAGAGTTTCATGTAGCCCAGGGTGCCCTCGAATTTACTATGTTGCTGAGGATGGCATTGAACTATTCCTCCCCCTGCCTGTACATTCCAAGTACTGGAATCAGATCTGCACCACCGTCTTGGTTTGATGGTCACTCTTAATCCTTCCCACTGCAGTCACATAACCCATCATTTGTTATTCACAACTCTCCAATTATAGACCAAGGGTGGCATCAACAGTTTGTGTCCACCCTTCTGCAGCCCAACGGAACTCAAGGAACATGAACAAATGGTTGCAGTTGCTTGGAAACCACTGATGCTCTCTGACTTCCACACCCAATGTGCCTTTACAGAAATTACAACTATTTGCCTTTTGGTGCCAAGAAGCCCTGTGTTTCTTTCATCAGTTCCTGGGGAGACCAGACATTCAGACTGCACTGGTCCAACATGCTGGAAAAAATGGCTGACCTCTTGGTAGGTGGCTTCATAGGCAGATTGGGAAACTGGGGACAAAGATATGCTATTCTATTCAACCAGGGGCTTGACCTCAGGTTAAACAGCACTGAATTAGTGGCTACTGTATGTCATGGCTTCTACTGTGTGGGACCAGAGGGATGAGAAGGTTTTGCAAAATCCTGGAATTCAAATCAAACTATCCAAATCAGAATCCAAACTATCTAAATCTGCCTTTCACTCTTACAGTGCCTAGCAAGCGTCTGACTCCACATCTCCCAAAGGCAGGAGTGCGAAGGCATCTCACAAAGCTGACATCCTTACTTTGACTAGTTCTGTCTCCCACACCCACAATTTTCTTCCCACCCCTCTAGGTTTCATGGGGAGGGACATCCTCTAATCTTCTGCTGGCTGTCCACAGGCCCCGCTAGATGGCTCTTGTCTTAACTTCTTATTTCACTAGAACATACACTAAAGACAAAATTATTATCTCCCTCCTCTTTGCTCCACACCCTGACTTGTGTAAAGCAAAGCAGTGTTTCCAGCTATGGGATTCTAGACATTAGGGAGCTAGACCATGAAAAGAGCCCAAGAGGCCTAGCTAGGCTCAGACAGTGTGGATGCTACAGGCTTTGTAAGTCTAGCCTTGTTTATTCTTCAGACACAGTAGACTTAGTCCATCATTAAAATGACAAAACAAACCAGAATATTCCCTACAGGCTATGGTTGCCTTTAACACTCTTTACTACTTCTTTGCTCAGCGTCAATAGCCCTTCATGGCTTCCATAACCAAGTTTATTCCCCTTATCAAAGCAGTGTAAATGGTTCCTATTAATTTTATAAATGAGGAAACTGAGTGTAATGAGATTAGTTCACTAATAAGTGGCAGCCTGGATTTGAACTCAGGTAGCCTAAGCCAGAGCCCGAATCCTTAGCTTCTTACTCCATCCTGATGTCTGTTCTTCACGTGTTGGAGGTGGGAAGGAGGCTTGAGTACTCAGGCACCAGGCTTTGGTAGGAAATGCAGGTTTTATAAATTCTAGCAAAGCAGTAGGAAGATCAGCATGTCCCTTTAGATGACATTTTCCCCCTCTGGACTGCTGAGTGAAATCCTAGAATTTAGGCCCAAAGAGAAATGTGCAATTATTACGTGTATCAGCATTAGCCACTGCTGCATCCAAGCTGCCCTGTTCCCCGCTCCCAAACCTCATACACTCAGAACAGAGAGCGGCTTTTCAATGCCGGTAAGACCACCTCACTTTGTAAAATTGACTTAAATATTGATTTTGAATATTTTTTTTTTACTAATTGCATATAAAACTTTAGACTATGAAATATTTCTCATGGTATCAGGTTTTCCACAAGGCTGGTTACACAGAACAACGCTTAGTTAAGTAGGACCTGGGACACAGTGGCCCTGGGTAATGCAGGAAGGGGCGCACATCTGGACCTAAGGAAAGGAAGGATCAAAGTAGGAGCACAGCAGTTTGTCCAGGCCACGTTCAAGGAAGGGAGGGGCTCATCCTAACGCCAAAGCCACAGAGACAAGGATAGGCAGCTGTAGTTTCTAGGCTGTGACAATTGGTGATCTCTATACCACGAGTCCTGCGGTTTGCCTTCAGGAAGAAGGCATAGAAGAAGTGAGGGAGCTGGTCAAGGTTTCCGAGGAGGCACCGGAAGAGAAGATGAAGGCTGTGCTCCGTGACTTCATCAGCCAAAGCAGGTGGGTGGCTTCGGCAGAGCTGAGCCCAGACGGACACAGCTCTTAATGACTTTGAGAAGTCAGCTGCGCTCACACCATTGGATGAGCACCTCACAGAATTGTATTCGCTCCTGACTCTTAAACAACTAAAAGAGAAGCCAAAGGGGGAAAGCCAAAACAAGACACACTCACTGCTCTGATTCTTTATGGAACAAGAAAAAAAAAATCCTCATAGCATTAGCACCAAGTCACCAGTGGGGATTCTGTGGCAGCACAGATGGTAGGAGGGGCTCTCTGGGGGCCTTTAGAGGCAGCTCATCCCATGTGGGAGCAACTTGGGCCATCTCTTGAAATTAACTCAATCAAGACAAGCAAAAACGAGAATTTGCTAAAGTAGACTTACTAAAAAGTGAGTAGAGATTAAATTATAACAAAGGTTAAAAACCAGTAAATATTCTGCTATATATGTGTATTTGTGTTTATGTATGTGTATATATATATATATATACACACACATATATATATACATATATATGTATATATATTTATATACATATGTAGGTAAGCAAAGGAATAAATGTGTTGTTTGTGCTATCTTCATTCACTTTCATTTTTTTCAGCACAAAAGCAATATAAAGCATGGGTCCTGCCATGAGCCAAGTGCCCTTTATAATTTCCTTGAAACACCTTTTAAAGGCTTCATAATCTTATATCTCATGTTGGAAAGTACTGGCAAGAAAGTAATAGCTCAATAACTCTTCTATATTATGGGAGTGCTTGAGGATGATAATTAACTGTCCCTCTTGTTCTTCAAGTTTTCAGTTAAAATATCCGTGTGTGTCAGTGATCAAAATGGTAGTTTTATAGTTGGTAACTGCGGGTCTGAGAAAGCAGTTTGGACCTGAGGTCAGATTGGAATTCCTTCTTCCGGCTCCTTTCTTGGTCAAGCAGTTGGTCTCCCTGAGGCCACCTCCACAGCAAACACAAGCCATTCACCATGTAGAGGTGACGAGGCTGCCCACAGCCAAAGAGCAGGCTGCATCTGAATTATGGAGAATGAATGAAAGCACAAACCCTATCCCTCACCACAATTTTGATGTAGAAAAACATCTTTCCACTAGCCTCTGTGACAGGAGAGACCCTAGGCAGCCAACATGTCTGCTCGGGCTGATCCATCCTGAAGAGTAGGATGGGATTCCCTGTACTTCTAATAAATACAGGAATGCAACAAGAAGACTCCCACCTCAAAATATAATCCTTCTTAGTCTTTGTAGAGGGGAACAGGAAATGCAGCTTTAATGGTATCCCTGGAGATAATCGCCAGGCAGAGCCTGGGTGTATCTTAGACTCCTCTTTGTAAGTTTCCTTTGCGATAGTTTTCACCACAGAAGGACCACATCCCCACTGTATAATACATACATCTGTATTCCATACTCCACAGTTCTATTGAGGCTATGATAGGAAGTGATGCATTTTCAATTTCTCTGTATTCCTACTTTCAGAGATAAAAAAATAATAATAATCTGTTCTCCTGGACCGTTTTTCCCTGCCCTTGCAGACACACATCCGTACTCACACACACTATTAAAACGCTTTGTTTCTTCCCAATGAAAACAGACATCTGTCTAGCAGGTTGCTTCTGAACTCAGTGATTTATCATAGGCATCTTCACACATAGATACATCATAATAAGTTTAATCTGTCTTTAACAATAGTTAATTGTTCCATTTATATTATCACCACAGTAAATAGTCTATAAATATATTCTTGCAAAAATCATTCCACTGTTTCTGAAGGACAAGAGTTTTAGTGTAATTTTTAAATTTAATTATGCATATGTTAATGTGCTCATAGGTGCTATCAAATAGTTTGTAAGAAACAACCAGTTACTTCCACAGCAGCATGCATTTTTCCATACTCTCCCATACCACCGTTCATTTTGCATAATACTATTTTTATAAATGAAGTAGCATTGATTCTAGTATTATGTTAGTCATCCCTAAAGACAATATGTTACTTCCTTAAGATTTTAGGTCCATTTACATTTCTTCTCGAGCTGCATTCATAGCCTTTATTATTTTCCTTTTTAAACACATTTGACATTTTATTTCCAAAAATGTTACTCTTCGAGAAGGTGAGGCCATATCTCAGTCTTAATTCTAAAATATCTGCTTTGTATGTAACATTTCAGAAAAGTCTTGGTGCGTCTTACCTATATAAGGCTGTATTATTTTGTGGAAATTTGTGATATATTTTGATAGCAGTTGCCATGGCTATGTATGAAGTGGAATTCGTAAATCTCCCCCAAAGTCACACAGGGCCTGGGTATCATTTCCAGTCCTTTTTGGGTGTGTGGTAACATATATGTTGCTTAAACCTAAATTTAAAAACCTCGGTTCTGGCGCTTTCAGCTTTCCACTGTGCCGCAGAGAGTAACTGTCTGTCTATAGGTCTCTCTGTCTGTCTACCTACCTACCAACTTACCTACCTGTCTATTTACAACTCTCTGGAATCACACAGATGGATTTTCAGTAAGTAGGCTGCAAAACGGATATTCTCTTTCAGAGCCTTTATCTCTGAGGCAGAAAAGAAGCCGAAGGTGTTGAACCAAACTGCGCTAGATAAGAAACGACTCACGCTCTGTTGGCAAGAACTGGTACGTGAAAACCTATTTATATTTTCAACGGAGAGAAAGCATGTGCTTTAAAAATAAACCTCATGGATGACACATAGGTCGTAGGGCAGGCAAGGACAAGGTTTAAAGAACATATTTTTCTGTGAGGTAGAGACAGCAGTGGGAAAGAATGTGTGTTGGGGTAGGAAAGGAACTCATCTATTGGATTCATAAGGTCCATCTGGAAGCCCAGGAATTCAGTTTCTTACTCAGATGGAGTCCCGATTGTATCGCTCCCCCCCCCCCCCCCCCCCCCCCGTCTATTTCTTCTGAAATTTGCCTTTTGCTAAAACTGTTAGGTCTGGGCTAGAGGAATGGCTGGGCGTTGGGCGTTTAGGAAAAATAAATGCTCTTCCAGAGGACCTGGGTTTAATTCTTACACCCACCCGGAGGCTCACAACTGTCTGTAACTCCAGTTCCAGAGGATCTGATGCCCTCTCCTGGCCTCAGCACACATTGCACATGGTGCTTAGACAAATGCAGGCAAACACGTGTGTGTGTGTGTGTGTGTGTGTGTGTGTGTGTGTGTGTGTGTGTG